TTGTCTGAGGCCAAATCACAAGTCCACTTGAAGTGCTGTTCTAAGGATTATTCTTCTGAATTATTACCCTGAGTCTCCCTCCTCTACTTTCACGTTGCATTAAATAGAAGCTGCCTGCCTCTACTTCCAAAACTCCACAGCCCAGGCAATTGAACATAAATGAATAATTAAAGTGAGAGAGAAAAATGAAGGTAGAGCTGGAAAAAACTTCTTGTATGATCACTTTCTCTGTTTCTAATTTTTCTTCATCAGGTCAAAAAAGCATTTACTGTAAGTCTGTTCATTCTCTGCAATGCTGGTAATTAATGCTTTTCCTCTTCCTGATAGGAAAAACACTCAGGAACATTCTTAAACTTATGCATACAAGTAATTATGCTTCAAGACACATAAATACTTTTTCTTTTAGCTGCAACAGAAATAAGAACCAGAAACAAGTAAGTGCTTTTGCACAAGTACTATCAATTTCTACATAATTTGAGGTGCATTAAAAAAAACACACACACACACACACACACAAAACTTCAGTGCTTACAGTTACGAAAATAACCTTCAAAATACAAAACTAAACTGATACAGCCTGTATCCACATACAAACACTCTTCCTCTCCTGCTGCTCAGTTTCCCCCACACAGTAACAAACTGAAAACTGACTTTTCACAACTGATATTCCAAAACCTGTGGGAATCAGCTGCAGCTCACAAGCGTTGGGCTGCTTTCAATTTGGTGCCAGCATTTCTAGACAGAAGTAGGTACTGGCGATAATCACTAGGCAAACAGAATAAGGAGTTCAGCAGATGCTGCTCATCCCTCTTCCTCCTCTCCTGTAAAGCAATAGCTAAACACTGAGATGTTTTCGTATCAGACCCCAACATGCCACAGCAATCAGCAGGCAATAAGTGCAAGACTACAGAAGTTAGCAAGGACTATAGAGGGCATCTGATCAGCTGATCAAAAAATCATATTTCAAAGGCAGGTATCAGCCAAAAAAGGCAAGGAAAACAAAAACAAAGAGACTGAGAAATTAATTGTTCAGTATAATAAAATTAGATTTACAGCCTTGTTGCTGTCCCTAGATATCCACTTCATTCCACAGCTATTTACCAAAGACTTGTTCTCTCAGCTCATCGACTAGCTTTTGGCCAAGCCACACTAATCAATGCTGAGCTGGCAGGGCAGGAGAACAGTTTAAGATTAAATCAAAACTCTGACAACTGTCATTTCTAAAGTGGTGAGGGACACGATATCTAGAAAGCTCTGCTACACTAAACACCTGTCAGTATTTTCTGAGCCATGATCCACACAGAGTTGACTCCAGTTGTCCTCAGTGAGTAACTTTCCTAGTGCACACAAGAATTTCTTATTTCCTAAAGAAACAAATTCTGACCGGAAAGAAAAAAAAAATTGTTTGCCGATAAACTTGTCTCAATACATAAAAAGTGAGGTAGGCCTGTATCTTAATGGGATTTAGCAGGACTTACCAAAATGCTGTATACTAACTTGACTGAAAATAGCGTCAACAGTTTGTGAAAGGGAGGTGAGGGAAGGGGGGCAAACTTGATCTCAATTTCTTATAAAGTGATCCAGAAAGTCATTTCAGGAGTAGTGAAGGAAAGATGTTGAAGGCAGGAATTGAAGATGTCTTTCTGAGCAGCTGTTTAGCATAAGCTGGATCAGGTGGCAAAACTCTCTAGTTAAGCTTTCCCTCTGAAATACGTCTGGAGTTTCCGTCCAGAATAGCTCTGGATGTATTCTCCTTGCTATCTGAGTACTGGAAGAAGAAATCTTATGAAGGAGTCTCAGAAGCCAAGAGATTATTTCCTTTCCCAAAAATGTTCGGCCAATTTAACTATTAACATTTTCCTTTTAAGTTATTATAAACGTCTCCGTTAGTGGTAAAGTCCAAGAAACAGGGAAGGGGGAAGGATAATCAGGAAAGAACGAACTCATGGAGTTCAAATGAAAATAAATTATTAAACGCTACCAGTCCTACTTTTGAGTAGTAACTAGAAGTCGATGTTTTTGATACACTCATGTGTGAGCAGAGGGAGAAAAGAGAAGAAAAGGAAGGAAAAAAGTCAGCATGTTTTCAAGATGTAAACTGAAGTAGTTAATTATTTCTAAACAGCTAGCTCAATTACTTCGGCTACTTATTGCCTATAAAAGTAAGATCTGAATTATCAACTTTGATGTACTGCTTTAGGAAATCTTCATGTTTAACATATGGGCACTTCTTCCCCCCATTCTTGGATTTCCACCGTGTGACCACTTGATTACTAGAGAAAATTTTAAAATGTTGAGAAAGATTAATACTCTGTAGTTAATGGCAGAATTCCACTGTGCCTTCTACCCCAGGAACTTGGATTCTGATCCACCTCCCAGCTACAGACCCTGGTTTTGGCACCCGGTCCACGAACAAAACTGAGTATGTCTATAAACATATAAAACTGGCTGCTATAAACCATGGTTACTAGGATCAGCACCTAATCCCCGGCTCAGTGAGCATGCATGTTATATATGTTATTTTCCCTTGATGGAAGACAGCTTCACTAAGTGCATTTCTTTTTAACAGCTAAATCCCATGAACTTTCTGAGTTTAAATGCAGTCTGCTGAGTGTTTTGAGATTCAGTTCGGCTAGAGTGGGAGAGAAGGAGGAAAAGGCATGAGATTAGTTAATTATGGCTTCTCTTTTGCTGAAGTAAGAAGGAAGAGGAGTGAAGAGGTAGAAAAAGAAAAGAGGCTGAAACATATTCCAGAAGACTCATAAAAAAGCGGAAATTACAAAAAGGAGGTGAAAATATCTCTTTCAAACCAAGGATAGATAAACCTTATTCAGTGAAGGCCTGACATGCACCACTGATGCACTAGTAGTTCTCTTGGAGCCTGGAAAACACATGGTCAAATGTCCATAAATACCTAATGAAAATGTGTAATTAAGCACAGGTTCAAGATTCTGTAGCGCTAACTTCATCTCTGGCAGAATTTACTACGTCAATTTGAAAAATCACTTGCACCACGCTTCAGTTTCACATTTCTAATATTAGCTTATTCTTCCCCCTTAATCCCAAATCTACCAGTAACCAAAATAATACAGGATGTAATAACAGGTCACCAAATCACTCTGAACAGTTAAAAACAATATTTCTAATATATATTCTACAGAGTACAAACTAAATGGAGACAGATGTAAAAGCGTGTGTTTCAGCAAATTGTGGGCTAAACTACATTAAATTAGGCATTAGAAAAAAAATTACCAGAGTTGATGGACCACTACCCTGATTAATCATGAGAGGGGTTTTTTTTTCCTCCTCTTAGAGTTCCATTTCTTTTTTTCTTTTTTTTTAAATGAATCTATCACAACAGAGCTGAACTAATTTTATTTGGCGGGAAAAAAGAAGGATGAAAAAGGACAAAAGACAATACAGAAAAAGAGTGAAGCACTACCTGCCTTTAAAAGTCTTTACATTCATTAGTATAATTCAGTCCATTAAATGTGATGCTTTCAAGATGCTGTGTAGTAAATTTTAATGTTACTCAAACAAGAAAAACATAAGAAGCCAGAGAGACTATAAACCATTTCCTCACTGATATTACAACGCAATTGAGAATATTTGATGTGCGAATTCCATCTCGTTCTCTTACTGGATAATATGCTCCACATTAAAAAAGAAGCAAACTGCATTTTGCAATATTTGCTCAGCAATATGCCAAATGAACTGGCAGAAAGAACAAATTACTTCTGCTCTCAAGCAGGGTGGATACTATTCTTAGGTTATCAGAAAGACTGCTGGTGCAAAAGCGTTATAAATGGCGCACAACTTGAGACAGGTACACAGGGCTGGGACCACAGAGCGCTGTAGCTTCTGGTTCAACGGTACTTTGGGTCACTTGTCTACTGAAGATGAACAGCACATACACTAGTTCATAGCTCTCGTTAAATAACAGAAGTAGATAATCTCAGTTCAGTTCACAGTAGACACAGTCACACAGCAGAAATCAGATGATAAGCAGAAGAGCAAGAGATTAAGGAACGGTCCAAACCTGTATAATATCTCGGCAGTGAGAAAACTCATCCGGGAAGTAAGACACTCAACAGTTTTACTCTACAGAATACAACTTCAGCTATCACACATCCAAAAGTGTGTTCCAGCAAGACACAGTGTAACCTACGCGGTTGCCCTCCCATTCCTACGGCTGGCACGGTGCCACTGTGCAGCACAGAATGTGATATTTAGAGCACAACAGAGGGCCTCTCGATAGGGCTCTCGGATGATCCTGAACTATCAAATCAGGTTTTCCGATTTCTCAAAATTCAGGGCTGGTTCTGCTACCTTATATTCAGTAATTCACTGAGTAATATATCAGGTTGTCAAATAAGAGTAAGGATGTTCATGTATATTTCATTACTTCTACAGAGAAGTGTAACTCCTAGGGAGAATCATTCTTTTGTGTTATGTCTTATCAAAAAACACTAGGTCCTGATCAGCAAAAGCCAAAACATCATTCTGGCTCTGCAGTTAAATGCCTAAACCTGACCAAAAAAAAAAAAAAACTCTTTCCACATATAGCAGTCAAACCAAATGTCAGACGTCACTTAAAAATGGTAATTAGCAATACTAACATTTACTTTTAGATATCAAGCTAACTGTGTCAATCAACAGTTCATTGCCTCTAGGTTAAATCCACAAATGTCATACTTCTATATTGGCTGCACATCAGTAATTCCCTTTCATACATCTATCTAACTAAGCTTTCTCTTACATTGGAGTTGTTCTTAAAATGAAGTTCTTATATTTAATGATCAGTAAGACCAGCAAGAACTTCTAACTGTTCAGTATTTTCTGAGGTTGACAGCCACAAGTTCTAACTTGGGAGGTTCATCAGAAAAAATTTCTTCAATACGAGGACAATGCAGCACTGCAACAGGTCACACAGAGAGGTTGCAGGATCTCTCTCATCTTTGGAGGCTTTCCAGACTCAGCTAGACAAAACCACAGCTGACCTGATCCGGTGTTGACAACAGTCTAGGTTCAAGCAGGAGATCAGACATGATGACCTCTAGATGTCCCATTGAAACACCATTTCTATGATGACTCTATTTTGGGGTGGGCTGAGGAAAAGAGGGCAAAATCCTGATTTTAGCTGACTTTCCTTGGCTTCTTACTCATGAAAAGTCTGTATGCAAATTTCACAGCCTAAACAGCTAAAACTTAATAAAAATAAAATGCTTTCCCAGTGATCATCTTATTATCATCACATTAACTTGTCAAATAATTTGCTAAGCACAAATTACCTATAGCATGCAGGATAATTCTGGCACCCCATAACATTAGATTTTACAAATCCTTAGAGACATAGGCTTACCAAATTCATAAAAAGCCAATTAGAAATGAATTCTTTTTCGCAACCTATAAACATCCCTCTGGAAAGCGATTTTTTTAGGGTTTTTTTTTCAGAACTGAATAGAAATTAAAGATATACAAAATGTTTAGATCAAACATTTCAGCAACTGAGCTTTTAAACTAACTATCTGTGAATGCAGTGACTTGTTTCAAAACTTTAAGCATTCTACCTACTCAATAGCACAAAGGTAACAGAAAATATGCACTGCTACAGCACAAATACGTGCTATGTACCTGCTAATTCTCAACAGCTTGTCTCTAATGTACGAGAGGCAGAAAATAATTTTGGTCAACCTTCATTAGAAGGCCATTCTCATCACACACCTGCATTTTACTTGTTTCTCTGCATACGGAGACTGCACTTAATAATTAATGAAACAAAACAGCTTTCTGGTTCTCCTCTGTATTATGGCAGAATTTACTTGCATCGGACGCAGATAGTCTGAACATAATTTGCACGAGGTACCTTTGGGAGCATACCATGACTCCTCCAAGAGCCATCATCTATCACGCTAAGACATCCCAGGAGCGTCTTCCCTTCAGCGGCAAAACGTCCTTTACGTCCGCACTCTGCGCTCGTATTTCCTTCTCACCGCGAGTTTAGGTGCAGCTCTAAAAACTTAAAAGACTTTACCACCGTTAGCTGACGGGTTTCTAGAGGCAGAAGCGCTACGCTGGGTTTCGGGAGGCGCGCTGGAAGGCACTTTTCGCAAGAACCTGCTCTGCAAATGCCTCCGCTCGCGGCGCCGCAGAGCCGTCGCACGCCGACTCCCTGGCGGGGCCG